GTCCTGGAGCCATTTTTGTTCAATATTTTTCATCAATGACCTGGGATGGAGTGCACGCTCAGCAATTGTGCAGATGACACCAAGATAGGGGGTAGGTATACTGGAGGGTAGGGCTAGGATTCAGTGTGACCGACACAAATTCAAGAATTGGACTAAAAGAAATCTTACGAGATTCAATAAGGAGAAGTGGTAAAGGACTGGAACAGGCTACCCATGGAGGTTGTAGAATCTCCATCCTTAGAGGTTTTTCAGACCCAGGTAGACAAAGCCTTGCCTGGGATGACCTAGTTGGGGCTGGTTCTGCTTTGAGCAGGGAGTTGTACTAGATGACTTCTGAAGTCCCTTCCAATCCTAATTTTCTATGAGTCTATGATTCTTCACACATAATTAAGCAGTGCTCACCTCTACCTCCATATGGGTCTGAGTACAGCAAGGGACATTTGGCTTGGCCACAGGAAGAAGGCACTGTTTTCTGAGGGCAGGCAAGAGTCTGTACCCAAGAAATACCTCACACTAGTTTAAGTGCATCAGACATGATGATTTTTTAGATGAGAAAAGGGTTTGGGATGGAAGGGAAAAAATGCCAGTCAGCCCCTTCCTCCTCCTACTGGATTTGCTGCCTTCAAGTGGCAAAGGACTAGGAGGGGTTCTCCCTCAGCAACCTGCAGTCCTCTGAGGTGCAGATGCGTTTTGTTTCAGTTACCCAACCCTCCTTCTGTGTGTAGTAGCTAGTGATCTGTGCTGCTAGGAGCTGGGTTTGACCAATTGCCTGGAGTATTTAGGGATGAAGATTTTTTTCCCATTATGCAATATTGGCAGGTGCTTAATGGGTTTTTCACCTCCCTCGATGCATTGTGGGGGCACAATTGCAGCAAAGACAATCTGGGAGTCCTGTGTTTAGAAATATAGGAATATAGAGTTCATCACATTTTGTGCCTGGTGCTTAGTGGGGTGTTTGTCCAAGTTTATTAAGAAATAAAATGACTTCAGCCGTAAGTGTGGGTAAGAGTGTTGCCATGTGAACATAAGTTAAAGTTGTGCATGAATTGCCTTCAGCAGATTCAAGAAAAAGAAAGTTTAGATTCTCATGTGAATATTCAGTATATTCATATATCTCACAGTTAGTGTAGATAAAGGCTAAAATGGTCATTTCCTAGAGGTAAATGAAACCAAGGTTTTAGTGGTAGAACTTGTACCTTTAAGGGCAAGGGGGTACTTAAGGTGTTGTCAATCAAAGATTTCCTCTGTGCTTTCACAGGCTGGTGGGTTAGAGGTCTCCATTGAACAGATTCCTGCAGGCAGTCATGGGAGGTCTGTCAAAGTTACTGGTTACATGATGAAGCCCTGCATGACTGGCACCAGTCAACTCCTCTTGGAGTTTAGTTAATAAATTTGGAGCCTGCCACTTAAAATCCATTCCACTGTCTGTCTGTCTTTCACCTGCATTTCCTAAGCAATGAAGCCTTGTTCAGGCACACCTCTGCCTATACCACTCTAATTATATGGAAGAAATTACAAAAGGGAGTTTGTTGCAGAGGCCATTTCCCTA